TCCACCAGTCTCACATTCACTGTACTCCAGCTAGTGCATCGTAACACAGATCGATAGTAGACTTTAAGTGATTAGAAAAATCTCAAAGATCGTTACAGCTTATCCTGGGAGTACGTGGGAGTACATGGGAGTACGACATTTTCGCTTTTTCCCCCTTGTATCCATTACATAACTACATCTACATATACGAAGATTCGAACAATTTTCATGCTCAATTTCATTCGTTCTTAAGTATTGTCAACTTAAAAATAACCAACACAACATTTGTTTGAAAATACCATAAAATTATTTAGAAAAAATTAATCGACTAGAAATCTGACAACATAAAATTAATAATTAATTCTTATAAAACTTTCAATTTTTTTTCTACACATCGGACATGAAGAAAGTGTATATCCACAAGGGACACAAGTACATAGATGTCCACAAGGCATGCATGCTAATTTTTTTTCTTCACTAAGACATATGACACATTCACCTAATGATTGTTTTGATGATTGAGATGAAGTATTTGATTGTTGATTTTTTGATGGAATTATAATATTGTCTGTAGAACTTTGAATAATATCAAGTTGTTTTTGAAGAATGAGACAAGCTATGGATAAATCAGCATCTGATTTAAAATCATCATTTTTTATTTTCAATTGATCTTCAATACAACGTTTAATAATTGCTAATGAATATTGTGAACGAAGACATTGAACGGCAGGTAAATCAAGTCTTGCTATAACTAAACGATTAAGTTGATCTTTATCAATTTGATTTTCTTTTAAATTTCGTTTTTTTAATGTTTGAATTTTTCCATGTAATTTATCTCCACATAAATGTTTTGCATAAGTACAATGAGGAAACCAACGAGCATGTTCAATCGTAGGATTATTATTTGAACCCCATTTGTGTAATGAACCATTACAATAAAAACATGTTACTGAATTATCAATACCAGCAAAAAAGAATCCTGCACGAACCAAATCTTCAATACTCGGTGAATTATATGTCCATTTAGCATTGGAAAATGTTGCTTCTCGACGAGATATTTCAACCATTCCTGGATGAAATGGTTCTAATTTTTCAGTTAATGTTTCATTGATTAGGTTTGGTGAACAATGTACTGAAGACATTGAAAGAACAAATGGACATTGTGGAGCAAGTCTTCTATGAACTTCAGCTGGATCATCATTCATTGTCCATTGATGACAAATTCTATTACAATATATACAAATAACTCGATCATTGATATTACATGAAATCCAACCAGCAGATGCCATTGATTCATAACTCGGTGTAAAATGTGGCCAATGACTAAGACTATTGATTCGAACTTTTCTCATTGAGTCTGATTCATTTAAACAATATTTCGTTTTTTGAAAAGTAAGCTCTTGTTTTGGAGTATCTGTTGATGACATGATAATTTGTTTTTTGTTTTTCTATTTTACTTACAGAAGGACAGCCACTATTTAGATAAGATTGTTTGATGAAACCTTGTGTTTGAATAATGTCACTTGTAGTCAAATTAATGCGATTTACTTAGAGAATAATAAATCGAGGATGAGCACCCACTTTCATATATATATAGTTTAATAATTGGAATGTTTTTATGAGAAATATTTCGTAACATGTTGTTTTCATCAATGTGTGTTTTTAAAGAAGTTGTAAAAGAATCTTTCCTCATTGAGTATGCGTCATGCTTTTGTCCTCCCAAACAGAAGGAAAATAAAAAGTACTTTACTCATGTTGAGTTTTTTTACGCTTCGAAAAAATAATATTTTACAGATTTCATCACTTATTTTTTCCGATTTGACATATACGGGGTGTGGATGTGGGCGCAAATCTAGAGTAGACCCACACTTCACACCACCCGCACACCCACACCCACACCCACACCCTGAATCTCTTTTATGAAGATGGTTCAACACCAAACAATTTGAACGGAGGTGGATCATTTTTGAATGAGGCCTGATTAGCATAAAATTGGAACAGCATTATTCATTCCATACAAAGATAAGACAAAACACAATCGGTGTCTCTTGATTGGCTATGAATAGCGGCTAATCAAGCGTTAAAACATCAACATAACGTTTCAATTTGTCACTTGTCATGTAATTGCAATTTTTCTGATTACTCATAACTCATTTTGAGAAAATGAAAGACTTCCATTGAACTGGAGAGCAGCACAAGAATTTGAGGTTTTCATACCCGCTGTGCAAAATAATAATATTCAGAAAATGAATCTCTCTTCAAAAAGATTGAAGTGAAATAGTGTCATCTTCTGTCTTGACACTTCATCATTTCGTTTTGACAACATTATATGTAAAAAAAGAATTTGAGCATGATATTAACGTTTTATGAATCAGTTAGTCATAAGAACTCATGAATTCAACAATTTTTATGATTAGGAGAACAATTTTCTTCTTTACAACCATCTTCTGAAGTAATTAACAATGAATTCCATTTATATCATGCACCCTAACTCTGTACCCTACATGAATCTTATGAGATGATTGCGAGTCATAACCCCTTAATACTTGTTAGAATCTATTTTTTGCCAACTAGCAACACAAAGTGATTACCACAAATTCCAGTTCCACTATACCTCGACATCCATTTACCTTTAAATTAAATTAACGAAAGAACCGGAACGAGAGTTTCACTAAATACAAACAAAATATCTCTCCGTTTACCTTCAAATATAAAAAAATCGATCTCGCGTAAATTCTTCAACTCATGTACCTATTTCTGATAATCAGTTAATCTTTGGTAATATCTCATCCCGTACGTTAAGTTTAACTATATGAAAAGATCCATATTGCTAACAATAGATTCCTCTTCCTAATCAACTGACGATAAATTAAATTCTTACCCGATGAACAAAAACAATTTTCTACTTTTACCTTTATCTTTTCCACCAAATCACAGTGACTTTAACTCTAAACCAGTCAATAAATAATATATATATTACACAAGGTTCATCTGAGTCATACAACAAACGGGAGTTCGAATTGTAGCATATTGATAAAGAAAATATTTATTTATATCGTTTTAGGTTCATGTGATTCAGCGAAAAATGATGAGTTTCAATTTTAATTTATTAATGAATGTAATTACACTTTATTGCATCAGGTACATTTGAAGTAAAAAAGATGATGAGTTTTATTCTGAGGATATCAAGCTGTGTATAGATATATTTCTGGTGTTGGGGGGATTAGAATAAGGATGTTCACAGTTATTTTCATGAGGATATATTCGGTAAAGTTACCTAAGATCATCGGATAGTTGAGGAGAGTTAGCAGTGGTAGTGCGATGAGTAGGCAAGGATATCACTGTTGGGCGATGTTAGTTAGAGAAGAATATTAATGCTGCGTTCGAACTTCTCGCGTAGTAGTTAGATTCGGGTCGTCAGGTAGGCTTGGCACATCTTTGCGACGCCTTTCTGCGTCGTGTTAGTGCGGCACTAAGATCGATAGGCTCCACCTCGAGAAGTATCCTATATGATGGAGCTGTTGATTCCAGGAGAAGGGGTTCTAAGGGAATATTATGGTTTGGAGTTTTGTTGCTGAACCTTCTTTCTGGAAGCTGGTGAAAGGTTCGAGATAAAACTAGGTTTTTCTGGAACCTTTAAGGGCTTAGAAAATGGTACCGAGAGATAGAACCTTTAAAAGTTCTATATGACACTTTTTTTAGAGAGTGAGGAATCCTCTATCAATTCGTAGAGAGTATTGGTAGTTACATTTTCTTAATATGAGTGAAGCAGCTAACGTGATTCTAAAGAAACTTTTCTATTTACTCATTTGACATTGTTCAACACTACTTGCTTGATTTCGTTCAAAAATCTACTGTCAAAGACTATCGAAAGTAAACATGGGCTGCTACTTAGTTCATCACTTTGTTTAGCTCAAAGATGGGCAAGTCAAATTAAAGATGATTTAAGTTGACTTTCGCTTTCCATGTTTTTATTTTGTTTCACAGGTAACTTAACAGTAAAATACAAGTTAAGTCAGAGACTTTTTTCAGCTACAATTTCTAGTAGATATATACTAAGTAAAGTTAAGTCTTTTGTTTTTATATGAAAATCCCATTAATAATACCCGAACATAATGTCAACCCGCAACAATAATTAAAGTAAATCCTTTGAAAGATGAAAAATCATCAAGAACAATGAATACCCAGAAAAGAGAGTTTTTCCTTAGATATTTAACTACACAACATTAAAAAATCAAAATATCAATTATATTACATTCATCAAATACCGGATTTATTGTTTTCTAAGACATGATTGTAACTGTTTGAATCGGTTGCTTCCACGGGGTGTTGAGCCCACCCTACGGACCTTTGAGTTCCGCTGGCGAGATTTTTTAAGCATATTTTTTTCGCCAGGAAGGGCTCAGAGATGCCAAGAGTTGGCTGATCCGCCCTAGAAAAAATTTCGAGAAACTTATTTTTTCGTTAAGGAGAGGCTTGAGCCTTTTCTAGTCCGGAATCCTGGCTCTGCCACTGATTCGAATGAATTTATTCTAATTGAATCAAAAACAAAACACTAATGGTTGAGCGAATTGTCAAGGAATATTCTCTATGTATCTTAAAGATGACTATCTGTCGAAAAAATATTTCGTAAAAGTGATTTTCTATTTTCAGAGCACAAGACCTGAATCTCAAAAAAGATATAAAAAAAATGTTGCTAGAGTTTAATCGAGAACGTATAGATGTATTCAAAAAAACTTGCACTCGTAAATTGTAAATGGAATTCGGTCGAAAAATTGGGTTTCTCTTCAATCCTGTTTTAGAAGTTGAAAAGTGTGTTAAAACTAGTGTTCATATTGAGAAAATTTAACTGAACTTGTTTTGAACATTTCTAGATGAAATAAACAGAAAAAAACGTCAGAAACAATTTTTGAAAAAAATGTAATGTTTTTTTGTCACTTTTAATTGACACACTTTTGTCCTGTATTTTAACTTTTGAAGGGGGATTGAAAATAAATCAAAATACATCCACATGTAGTATTTTTCGTGAGCTATCCAACCATATGAGAAACAATAGAAATAAACTAATTCCGAGAAAGTAGTATTACAATTTACGAGTGCAAGTTTTTTTGAATACAGCTGTATACTCGATAAATTGATAATAAGTATAAGTAGATCACGACAGTTGAAAAAAACTAAAGTGAACGCCTTGAGACTTGACTCTAAAAATTTCTTGTTTACTGATAAATTACTTCGACTTAACCTGAGTTTTTAAAAGGATTGACTTCACTTGAGTCAGAAAAAGATAACTAGAAGCCTATAACTTTCTTACTAGATGAGTTAACAGGATCAATTAATGGTCATTTTTAGAGCGTGTTTTGCTGCATCGCTTCGTCATAGAGAAAAATTTCCTAAAACAATCGAGTTAACAATTCTGGCTCTCCTTTATACGTTTCTTTCTTTATATTAGCCAAGTCGTCTTACTGTCTGATTCCTGAGAGCATTCTCGAATAAATTGTGTCTTTCTTAGAAAAACTCATTACTACGACAACTTTTCTAAACAGTAAATAACCAAGTGTAATCAAAGTAGATATTGTGATGAAAAACATGTACAGATCGCGGCAAATATCAAGCTGTAAGAAAAATACTTCTTGATTAATCAAATAGCTAAATAATCACAAGCGCATTCATGTGAAATCGGGAAGGCTGATGAAAAATACTGACTGAAACTTCAAAAAACAATTATTCATGCATGTAATTTTTTGCAAATCATGATTAATTAGGAGTCCATTTAATGAGATTTTTCTTTCTTTTGAAACTTGGCGTTACTGACGGAAGCTCAACATGGAACTTGTCATCTTGTTCAATAACTAAGTAGGTGGCAGTAGAATTTTAACAAAAAAACTAGTCAAACAGATGAAAATGTCAAAATAATTTCAAGCTATTTGTTTCTTTCTGACGTTATAGAAGCTTTACAAATGTCACTGCCAATTGTTCATGCGGTGCAAGTCTAAAAAATGATCTTGTCTTTAACATCCATGAAACTAGTCACAAAAAATTGCTTCAGAATTGTTTGAGAATTTTTCAACTACTTGTTCTTAGTTTTTCTACCTAAAAAAACGCATATTATTGATTGACACTGTCACATAAGTCATTATAGTTTCCTATTTATTAAGCTTTTGATTTGTTATTTGGAATTTTCGAATCTGTGAATATAATTATACACACATGAGTCATACCTTCAAGTCGTATAACTCAACTCTGTTGATGATCCGATATCTCGGCAAGAAAACATGCTTAGGTTGACAATTTTGATTGCAAAGATCTTTTGACGTTTGCCATTGCATGAGCATAGCTACGGCTCCGTTAAAGATTTGCTTGATTTACACCTAGCAGAAGAATTTTCTTTATTGTTTTGACGTATCTCTGAACATAAACATTTTTTGAT